GGGTAAGCCTGCCCCAAGAGAAAACTATGACCCCAGACCCCTGACCCCTGTTCTTGACCTGAACCCTTTAGGGTTTAGGGTTCAGCGTTTAGGGTTTAGGACCCATTCCCCTCGAAGGCACGAAGCTTCCGGAACCTGGGGTCAAAGCAGTTGGTGCCGCACATAAATGGCAGACCAAAGAGGGTTCTTTTTTGGAATAGTTCGCTCGCATCCGGAACCGTAAAGCCTACATACTCTACATGAGTCCCTGAAACCCTCAACCTTAAATTCTAAAACCTGAATCTTTAAAACACTAAAACCTTAGAAGTCCAAGCCCCAAGCCTGAAATCCTAGACCCTAAAGCCAACCCTGAGCCTTAAACCCTCAACCCTAATGGGAAACCTACTTGTAGTACTATTTCTATACCCTAACCCTAAACCCTATATTAATATTAGGTATATTAATATGAGTATTTCTCTTGTTATTTTTTTTTAACGAATTCCTAAGCCGTAAGCCGCAACCTGTAGCAGGTGGACGTGCCGAAAGTAACCCCTGGGATGGTGAAGAAGGCCAAGGAGGTGGGCGGTTCCCAAACTTGGGGTCCCATTTTGGTACCTTTAAAGGGGGATATAGGGGTTATATAGGTGTACATAGGGTTTAGGGTTTAGAGTTCCCAAACTTAGGGTCCCATTTTGGTACCCCTAAAAAATAGGCGTTTTAGGGTCTAGGGCGTAGGGTTTAAACCACCCCTGAACCTTAAACCCAAAGGCCGAGAGATTAGGGATTAGGTGATTTAGGGTTTAGGGTTATATAATCTATAGTCCAAAGGGCCCATACTTTTGAGAACCCTAAACTCTAAACCCTAAACCGCGTACTTTTGAGAACAAACTCAGGTCTTGGCGGCTCACCCCAAGGACCGGCCCTAGACTTGCTATCCTTTGGGGGGGGGGGCTTGAGGGGTTTGGGGGTTTTGGGGTGTTTGGTTAGGGGTGTGGGGTTTAGGGTTTAGAGGGGTTTGGGGGTTTGGGGTGTTTGGTTTAGGGGGGTGGGGTTGGGGGTTTGGGAGGATGTTTAGGGTTTTGGGGCTTGGGGCTCAGGGTCTAGGGTTTAGGGTGTTGAGGGTTTGGGGTGTAGGGTTTGGAGCTCAGAGTGCTTAGGGTCTAGGGTGTTTTGGGTTTGGGGTTCAGGGTTTAGTCTGTTTGGGGTTTGGGGTTTAGGGTTTGGGATTTAGGGTTCTTCATGTGGGGTTCGGGGGTTAGGTCGGGTTGGGGCCTAGGTAGGTAAGGATATTGAAGAGTTAAATTCAACAGCAAATAGGAAATGAACCGGAAATTTGGATTATTCATGTATGTGCTTATGAGGGTGCTCAATGTAGAGAACTAAATAATCACCAATATCATGGTCTTAGGTTCCTTGCACAATTTAAGTATAGGTGAAGGGTTCCTGGGTTGTACCCCTAGGTCGTATCTCTCAAAGGCTTCCCGAGGGCGACCCCGAAACGCCATAGGGGCCTAAACACTTGTCAATAAAAAGGTTCCATATTCCTTGTATAATTATGAAATATTGTACTTCAATAGTACCTCAACATGATATTGGTAACTACTTAGGCGCCTAAAGTACCTGAACCTAACACCCAAACCCCACCCCAAAACCTAAACTCGGCACTCTAAGCCCTGAACCCCACACCTGTAATCTTAATCCTACGCTCCTAAGCCCAACCTAAACCCTAAACCCTAAGCCCCAAATCCTAATCCGACGATCGTAAGCCCAACCTAACCCTGAACCCCTAAACCCCCTAAACCCCCTAAACCCGCTAAACCCCCTAAACCCCCTAAACCCCCTAAACCCCCTAAACCCCCTAACCCCCCTACACCCCCTAAACCCCTTAAACCCCCTAAACCCCCTGAACCTCCTAAACCCCCAAAACCCCTAAACCCAACCTCCAGCTCCCTAAGCTGCAGAGGTGCGGGCCTTACTATAATGTAGTAGTTTCCTTTCCCTTTTCCATTACCCCTATATGAGCTATAGTCTAACCTCCTTAAGAGCAACTATATAGGGGATTACTTAGGGGAGCATTATAGGGCCTATTAAGGGGGATACTCGGAGTTTAGACGATGGCTCATATACTTAATCCCGATATAATCCCAGTTTAGGGGTGGTTAAGCTCTCTAAGTCTAGAGGTGCGAGCCTTACTATAATGTAGTAGTTTCCATTTTCTTTTCCATTACTCCTATATAATCCCTATAATCAATAATCCCAGTCCAAGAGTGTTAAGCTCTCTAAGAACGGAGGTGCGGGCCTTTCTAATGGAGTGCACGGAGCTACCGCCCTACTCGGATGCGGTGCGGCATGCAACCGGGCTTCCGGCTGCTTGCCTGACTCAACTTGGAGGGTCTTATTGGGGACTTAGTAAGTAGGTTAATAGTGGGGATAATTAGAGTTACTATATGGGTTATAGGGGTTATTAACCTACTTACTAAGTCTCCCTGACCCTCCAAGAAGTCTAGGGCTTGGGAAGGGAGACGACTTGGGGGCTACCAGATGAGCTATAGCCTAAACTCTTAGTATCCCCCTTAATAAGCCCTATGACCCTAAACCCTAAACCCCATAATACCCCCCTAATTTTACGGAGTTTAGACTAAAGCTCCTATTGCTTCGGTTTGATTTAGGGCTTCCCCATGCCTTAGAGGAAGTGGGAGTGGGTGTAGGGACTTTAGTCACCCTTAAGTAGATAGAAGAGGGCTTTGGATATATTATAGGGTTTAGGGTATAGGGATAGAATATGGCTTTGAGTATATTTACTAGAATAAGATCCCCATATACCCCATATTCCATCTACTTAAGCGGGACCAGATGTATAGGTGGGGAAACCTTCCAAATTTCATGTCATCAGCTGAGCAACGTCGTCGCTGAGACAAGAACCAATCTTTTGCCATGGAATCCAGTCAGTCAGTCAGTCAGTCAGTCAGTCAATTGGGTGTTTACTTAGCTGCCTCTTCTGTCGACCAAGAAAGAACACAACCTGACTCACAAAACCATGCAGCCCACCCTCCGTTCCTCACCAAAAACTATGCATCCAAAGTAAAAACACGCTGCCATTACCATACGTGGGGGTCAGGGGGTGGACTGGGCACCTGCACTGAAGTTTGGTAAGCGGCTTGTACCAGCATAATTAGTTACGCCACAACGTTTAGGCGCGACGCGCCAGAACCCGGCCGTGGGACATGCCCCGGCGCAACCACACCTGGGACGTGCCCGGTGTTGGGTTCTTTCAAAAAACCTACACTCACGTTGACACCAGCATGCTTTGGTCGTGCCGACCTACTGACGAAGTATCCAATGACTCTTCGCCGCTCATCGCCCAAAAACTCGAAACCTCCATTCCAATCCGCTTCCTGCCCTCCCACACCGTCAATGCTTTCACCGGAGTGCACAAAGAACCAT